AAGTATGAAAGCCCTAGCCCTTAACTTCCAAAAGTTATGGTCAAGGTTAAAGTTTTTTTCATAAGTATAGATTTGAAATCTCCAAAGTCTATGTCAAAAGGTCAAAGTTGTTGGTACTCAATGAAAGGTCTTGCCACAAAAAATACATGTGTGAAGTTTAAAAGTCCTGGTATCTACTGTTCAAAAGATATGGCCAAAGTAAAAGTTTGGAATTTTTGTGTAAAAGGGGGTCAAACTCAAAGGTCAAGGTCAAAAGGTCAAAATTGTTGGTACCCAATGAAAGGTCTTGTCACAAGGAATACACATGTAAAATATGAGTCATAGTTCCTCTAAATCAAAATTTATGAGCAAGGTTAAAGTTTTTGCGGAGAAACAGACAGACAGAGAGACAGACGGACGGACGGACGGACACGACAAAAACTATATACCCCCGAAACTTCGTTTACGGGGGCATAAAAACATCTTACTACATGTAAGTTCGTTTACGGAGACACAAGTCTTAAGTGAGCATGTCGATCCAAAAAGATTTTGTTAGTTTTTTTTAATTCAAAAGACATCTATGAAAACCCATGTCGACCTCGGAATAAAACATGAGGTGTCATGGGGAGTTTGATTTAAGATTTAATTGCAAAAATTGCAAAAGCTTCTAGAGATATCGCCTGGAAATGAAAGATTTACACACAGACAGAATGTATGAATTTTCAACCTTGACCTCAAATAGGGGTCTCCCTTGGGTCATAGGGACATATGGTGTAAAATTTCTCTACAAACCTAACGGGCTTCTCGAGATATCACGCGGGCCTTGAACTTTGACCTTAAAATCAATCATAGGGAGTTTTGTAAAATTTCATTGCAAAAGCTCAAAAGTTTCTCGAAATATCGCATGGAAACGAAACTGACAGACAAAAATACAGTTGGACAGACGGACGGACAGGTAGACCGAAATTAATATCTCCCACTCACGGCGGGGGACATTATATACAAAGAGCCAGTATAAATATCTGCAGAGAATTGAAAGTCTAGGAAACAAAATGGATCTAACTTTAAGTTACAGATTAAGGTCTACTGAAACCCCAGTAAGAAAGGTTACTCTTACTGGGATAAAATATCACTACTAGATAAAACTCCTATGAGTTTAAAGGCTGATTACCGACGCCCAGCAAGGTATGCTGAAATTGCTAGCATTTTGTATGTATACATGTAAAGTCAAGTCTCATTTGGAAAATCAAATAAACGTTCAATGAAAATTTTCATGAGCGAGTAGAGAATTTGTGAACCTTAATCTTTTGTTGTTTTGATTTCTGAAGGAGAAAAAAATAAAGAATGCGACCCAAATCAGTCAGGCTGCATTATTTCCGAGTCGTAATTGGAGATCGATCGAAGGAAACTCACTAACCACGATCTATCTGTATTAACTCCCACGAGATGATTTTATACGTTAATGAAGACGATCATGCCGTATAGTGTGTACCCTACTCATGTCCTGTTGTATTTAGGGTACATATTTGAATATCGAATTAAGGAATCACTGTTTAGATTTTATAGTATGCCAGGTCATCAATGGACGTTGGGTAATTCGCCTACATCCACTTCTCTTCTGTCCACTTCTCTAATGAAAAGCTACCAAGACCTTTCATTTTTAAATAAGGAATATTATATTGGATAAAATATGTGAAAAGCAAAATATTTCACCATTTAGTTTTTTTTATTCTATCAATTCCATTGTTTTTATGTAGTTTAAGCATATAATTGTGTGTAAAACCACAAAAAATTATCCATATTTTGAAACTGCCCCCATTCAACTTCAATTAAGGCAAGCTAAAAAAAAAATTCAATCCAATTTTTCTAAGCATGGTACACACCAATATATATGAAGAGGCCTTTTGACCGCATCGCATACCTAAGAATATTAACTAGGGAAAAGCAGAAAAGAGTCCAGTATTGAAAAGATTAAATATTGAATATTTCAAGTTCAAGCAGTGGCCTCTTGAACAGTTTGTTTTCACCGTTTGGTTGGTCGCCTTGCCAGCGCTTTTTGTGTTGTTGACGTCCGAATCCTTCATCATTTCCTTTCCTGGAAAAGAGTTCCTAAAATGGTTCGTACAGTACATGACCCCTTCTTTCATGCTGAAAGTTTTTGTTCTAAGAAAAGACAATTGGAAAAATATATTAACATGACCCAAGGTCTTGTTAAATTTTTCAAATTAAAACAACAGTGTCTCGATATTCTTTTCTTCAAAAATAAATTTCATGTATTTAATACTAGTATTACTTAAAAGTCAAAAAGCAAAAAAAAAAATATGCTTGAAATATCATTATCCAGGGATGAACAAGATGAGCTGCCATGTTACTTCATGTTACGCCAAAATTTTGGTGTACCGTCCTCTTTGGTCACTAAAAATACAGGGGCTCTCCAAGGACTATCGCTGGACTCTTCATTTTCAAGCATTTGTCGAACCCATGATCCTTATCCAACTGTCTCCCGCGTGGTTAGAGCGTCTGCTCTATAGTCGCAGAGTAAGGAGTCGATCCTTACGTTGCCGGTTCGAATCCCACTGTGGGACGTGGAGACCGGTCCTTCGGATGAGACCGTATACACTGCGGACCCATGTCACAGTATGTGCTGGCACGAAAAAGATCCCTTACTGCTCAATGGCCCTAAGTGCCGAGTATAGGACAAAATTTGCAGCTCTCCACCGGCAAGTGGTGGCGTCTCCATATGAGTGAAAAATTCTCTCGAAAGGGACGTTAAACAACATAAAATCAATCAATCATTATCAACTACATGTATTTCTCTTTGCTGTAGTGCCATTCGGCGCTGGGCTAGGCGGATTGAAGCATTTTCACCCGTGTCTATTTTAATGTGCGTTACTAGGTCAGTCTGACAAAAATATCTTGGAACTCCAGACACGAATAAGTTCAACAGGCCTTTTCTCTCTCTTTGTACTTTAAACTATCTGACATGTTTTCTATAAGCAAAAACAAATGTTCCGGTTATTTACCAGATTCAACTTCTTGCAATTGCAACGAATGATCATGAACAATTTCTGCAACGGGTCCGACTGTGGCTAGGACATCATCGCGCTTTAATTTTACTGGATTTTCAAAATTTATAATTGGAATACATGTAATTGATATTTGTTTTAATTTCTGTTTTAACAAATTAAATTGATTTGGCGACTAAGAGAACTTTAATTCTGACGCCTCGACTATGCCCTGTTGATCAGGACTATAACCCGCGATGTAACCCCCGACTGCCTTCTCAGAATTCCCAGGAATTGTAACATTTTAAACAGCCTGCTTATAATGGGGCACAATTAGTACCCATAGTAATTGTATTTAACGTTTTCGAATTGTAGTAAGGGTGAGTCTGGAAAAACAAGAATTCTTCTGATAACGTATATATAATATTGAAAAAAAAAACCCAGTATTTTCTTGATGAATATAAACATTACTTTAGTAAAGTTTCTGGCCGGTCAATCTCTTATAGATCAACGAATTAGCGTTTTAAATTACTATAGGCAAAATCGTTCTATACATGTATAATTCATATTGACTTAACACACCGTTTTGTTGTGTATCACGATATCTATGATTTAATTGACGATGTTTTTTGATATGGTGAAGTTCACTGTGTCTGTAATTGATAAACCCCAGCTGTCAGTGGTCTCCCCTTGTCTTCATCCTATTGGCCCTTCCGGTCAGTTACTCTGCCAATAAACATAAAGGAACATTGATACTAACGATACGAATTCATTAACATATGTCCACTGTAGAAATATTGCGTTCTTTTGGAACCCCCGGGTCTTTATGTTTTAGCAAGAAGAGAGAAGCCGTTTTGCATACCTGCGAGGTAACAAATTCCGCGACGTTATGTAGACCACTCAGATTTACATAAATATTATAATTTATATATTCAATATGCGCATATTGCATTTCTAGTCAAGTCAGTTTCTATATTTCCTTACATCTCTATTTATTTCCACCAAAATACACATTATTAATGTTATAAATGGATCCTGATTAAAAAATGGAACGTGCAAAAAATTTCAAAATTGCATAGGTCCAAATGGTGGAGAGGGGGAGGAGGGTCAAAAACCTTATGTGTAGAATCTTTACTCCTGTACATTTTCAGCTGGAATCAACTCGTCTATCAGATTATTAAAGATTGTTCCCTGTAAATATTAAGGACAGATGATATAAACAATAAAATGGATGCCTGGATTGGTATATTTATTTCTTGGCCTTTTTTTTTTTTTATCGCAAATGATACAACTAATAAATATTAGTTCTATGATGTTCAAAATTCTATCGTTCTGCAGTCATCCTTATAAATTTATAATATATATTTCACTTCAAATTTCATTTTGTGTAAATTTGATTGAAATTTTTTAAAAACTACGTGGTAAAACTTGTCCATTTTACTCAATGAAACATGACTAAGGTTGTTATTTCCATTTTTTTTTTTTGGACAAATTTAAAGTTTTATCATCTGTTCTTAAAAGAGGATTTCAGTATTTTTTTTAATTTTCAGCCTTGGCCATTCGGATGGAGGATTCGTGCAAGAACGATTTTTTTTGGCAAATCCAAAAGCTTTCCTCGCATTCTATGCAGTAGCCAAATCATATTTTGGAATATAATTGGGGAAGAACAGAGGAATTTACAAAAAAAAATGTTTTTTTTTAATTCAGGAGACCAATTGATGGGTTGAAAATTATAACTTAATACGACATTTCCTCATGCTTTTAAGCAAAAATTAAAAGTTTTAGTCTGATAATTTGATTATTAAGATAAAAGATCCATGGGCTATATAAGGTTCTCATAAGGTCTACAGCACCCACCAGGAGAGAGAATGGTACATGTAAATGTAGAGCATGCAAACCGACATATTTCTATATCTGTAATTATCAGGGTAAAGCAAAAAATCGGGCTTACATGTCACGAAATGAAAAATACCGGTGTATATATACGTTCACTGACAGTTTCATCCTTCATAGAATATGGGGAACTTCATATTACAACATAGTAAGTAAACTTTTTAATTTAAGGGATTCCCGTCCTCAGCTAGGAAGGATAACTTAAATATATAATTTAATTCAAAAAGTCAAAAAAAAAAATGAGGCTTGCTCGAAAATATATCTTTTCATGCAACCTCTCAAAGTGCTTTTCAATTAGTCAATACCTAGGATTGGACTACCTTAGATAGTTAATTAAAAAGAAACATCCATCATAATTTGCTTTCCCTTTGTTGTATATATTTGAAACGATGCATTTGAAATTTTACAAAACAAGCACTTTTAGATTTATATTCGTATGTCATCTTTGTGTGATTGTGTTAGCTATATATGAATTCTTTCTCTGCTTCATTGTAAACGTACGTGTTGTTGGTATGTTTTTCAATCTTTTCGCTGACACGATTTTTTGCAAATTGGCCACTGGATATTTTGATAAGATTAAAATTGGTTATTTTGATAAAATTAAAATTAGTGAGACGTTCTTATTTTAAAGTTAGTTTCATTTAATATGAGTAAATAATATGCAATTTTTGCCTGAAAGTCTGATACATGTATATGCTTTTCGTTATTATAATAATACATTCTGGGAATGACATTTTTTCTGTTCTTACACGTTATAGAGCTCGTAAATTTTCCGACGCTCGCTGCGCTCGCTATAATCATACAGACATTCTTTCCTTTACAGGCCCTGTAAATTTTTCAGCGTTGGTTTGGTTTCGTCGAACTTTTTGTACCTGCATTGCTATTGGTGCGTTCACTCTGTATCTTTTTACCGGTTCATACCAATCCCTACACCCCCTGCTGTATCACGTGACAAAGACTAATCCTGATTTTAAGTGTATTTGGAGTGTAGTGGACAATCGGACTAAGTGTAAACCAGTTTGTGGATACGGTTATTTTGGACTTTACGGAATGGAGGACTGCCATCTTTGGTTGGATTGCGAGGACATGAGAGATGTAGGCCTAGAGGGCGCTGAGAGAATACCGTCCGGCACTGCTGGCCTCGTAAAGGAAGTAAGATAGCAATCAAATTAAGGTAATTCCACCCTTCTATGATGTCATAGGTTTTTGCAGAAACTGTAATTAGTTTAAATTCATACCTTATAGAAAAATATCTCTTGGAAGAATGCTTTACAATAGGTGTAATGATAAATATTGTTTAGTGAAAGAATTTAAAAAATGCATATTTTCTATATTTAATCAATTATTCAATCTTTAAAAAATGTTGACAAGGGCAATAACTCCTTCTAAGGTCTCTTCATTCAGGCATTTGCTTTACTGTAAAATAGTTTACCTGATATTCACAATTCAAAAGTATCTTTTAAGTAGGAAGTATTTAGGAACACTCAGCATCAGAATTATGCATTTCAGCCAGTTTTTACATATTTTTCTCAATACTGTTTACAAAAAATGTACAATTTTTTTATGTTGACATACACTTCTGTTTATTTATGTTTCGCATCTTAAATAATATGGTGACCTATACATTTTTTGCAATAAATGGAAAGTTTAAAGTATATTGAAAGAAAATAAATGCAGTTTTTGTACTTTGAACCTATAAAATTGTGAGGGTGGAAATTCCTTAATGAATGATTTATAAAATGGAGTTTTCTTGTTATAAATTGCCCGCGTGGCGCAGTGGTTAGAGCGTCTGCTCTAGACTCGCCAAGTATGGAGTTGATCCCTACGTCACGGTTTCGAATCCCACTGTGGGACATGGAGACCGGTCCTTCGGATGAGACCGTAAAAAAGCGAGGTATCGTGTCGCAGTAGGTACTGGCACGAAAACGATCCCTCACTGCTCAATGGCCGTAAGTGCCAAGTATAGGAAAAAATTTGCAGCTCTCCACCGGCAAGTGGTTGTCTCCCCATATGCATGAGTGAAAAATTCTCGAAAGGGACGTTTAACAACAAACAATCAACAATCTTGTTATAAATTTGAACAAAGATTCCGTTTCTTTGGTTTAAATAGTCTTACTCATTGACCTTTGAAATTGATAATCCGAGAACTGCAGGAGATTTAATGAATACTTAAAATCATGTATTTTAAATTTGTAAACACCAAATAGGGAGAGAGAAAAATCCAATTTCGAAATTATTCCAAAAGTCTTCGATCCCCGAATTATCTTCAGGTTTGTCCTACAATTTTGCTCGTTTTACACTTCACATTTTTGCCTGACGTCACGGCGTCAGGCTGTATAAGGCTTGATATTTGCAAAATCCGAAACTAATAGATCATACCTAGAGAGCTAGATTTTGTGCAAGCTGATTTACATTGGAATTCTTTACCTGTATTTCAAAAGAAAGTTTTCAGAAAAAAAAAATAATATTACTGATGCAAAATACTGTAGTGTTTACTTCCTTTAATTTTTTTGCATGCAACGATTATTATCGGCAGCGGCCGATCTATTTGTGGTTGTGTTAGAAAGTACACATGGGGAAATGAGACGTTATTTTCTTTATTAGTTCAATAAAATAATTCTTTAAATGATAACAAGTAAAAAATAATGAGTAAAATGTTTAAGAAATTTGCTTTAAACTTAGTATTAATTGTTGTTATTATATTTCAATTTCATTATAATTTCTCATCAGATAATTGATAATTAAATGTTATATAAAAAGAGTTTACAAAAGATACTCCCTACCCTGGGAGTGTGTAAGATAGTATGAAAGGAAATCGTCAGAATTTTCCGGATAATAATGACGTGGTAAAAGTACATGGTGAATAAAAATTGAAAATTTTTTCAACTAATAAAAGTTGTTTTAAATATGCTCAAAGTTGTTTTAAATATGCTTAAATATGCTCTACAGCTGCAACTGACACAAATATATTTTTTCTACATTTTGCACTGCGCCTTGCAGCATAGCCTGTTCTGCATGCAGAAACCATAGGCATTATCACCAAATGACCAAGATCTAGGGTATCAGCACGTGTTTATCTTGGGAGACTTACATCTTCATTTTGATAACAATAAATTCTTATCATTCAACCATCAATGATGATTGGCTTTTTTCATCGATGAATCTATTTATGAGCAAATGCAGTAAAAGTCTACTTATTAAATTCTTAAAATTCAAATATTTATTTTGGTTTGAAGGCAGTCTAAAATAAAGATGGTTCAACTATTTCACCGTTGAATATCTTGACGTGCTTTCCTTGCATGAATGCTTTTAAAATTGTGAAAGAATTTTTTTGAATGCTAAATTTTTTTTGCGGCCGATTTGATGCTTTGCATCAATTTGATTTGTTCCATGTGATTCACCGTTTCAACATGTCCGTGCATCCTTTTTTCTGCATTTCTATACTACTGGACCAGTCCATTTATATTCTACGAAAGGGGTGAGTCGCTCTTTTCGCGCCAAATGTCACTGCTTTCTTCGCGCCTTTTCCTTGGATTGTTCTATTGTATGAATGGGTGTTCCAACTTCCATGGAATTAGAGTTTATCCTTTTAACCTCCTTCTAATGTTTCAGAAATTCTGTCTACAAATAGTTGTTTTATCTCATTCTTTGAAACAGCATATCGTATAATATATCAGTATACGGACATGGAACACTAAAAAAGAAGTGATTTTTTTTTTCTAATTTGTTTCCCGATCCCGCGGTTGTTTTATTCCATAAATGGATTAGTCCAATAATAATAAACAACGTATTTCAACAAAGTCTCCAGATGCATGAAAAATCATATGTCTCTGTTCAGATGCACACAATAAATAAGAAAGCAGTGAAAAACCTTGGATTTTTCTTTCCAAACAGGTCTTTAGAAGTGAATTTACTTATTTCATTCTCAATATAATACGACAGTGGGAACCCCTCTCCCTTTTTAAGAAAAAGAAATAATTAACACACATAACTAGTTTACTTCAGTGGAGAAAATACATCCAAAAAAATGAGTATTTAACTATATCCATGATATCCTTGATTTAGTGCATGATTTGGTAACAGATTTTATAATGAAGTTCGAAATCAATTTAGATCCAAGGGCAGATCACTCCACTTGCAGAAAACCCCCACAGAATACCATCTCTTTAGTATGCAATGTAGAGATGATTCTTCTAAAAGTTAAATAAATCAAAATTTCATTTACGCAAGGTTCTCAAAACAAAAGTATTGCTCAAAAGGTTTATCATCATTCCTCATGCAGATATTGATTGATTTAGTCAGGCAAGCTTTTTAAAAAGCTGTTACTTGTAGTTTCATTAAATCTTAATTATTGAATACCCATTTAAATAAAATGGTTGGATAAGTTTAAATACCGGTATTAAAATAGTTGAAATCATATATGAGTGAAAAAAATTGGTAAAGAATGTGTAATATTACTATCTCCTCTTCATAGAAAAAAAAATTAAATTTCCGGTTGCGAAGTGGTAGCAATGACACTGGTTATTTCATGCCTTTGTAGAGTGGTTATGGTTAAAAATAATGGCCTAATTCTAAATTATTTTTTAGCTTTGACCTATATTATAAACAATGATATATATAAAGAAAACGCAGGAGAGTATATGTGTAATGCTTTACAGGTTGGCATCGGTAAATGGAATGGTTATGATGTCGTAATCAAGAAAATGAGGCGCTACCACTACGGTCGGCTGTCACATAAAGAGTTCGAACACGGCGTACAAATCCTAAAAGACTTCTCCAGCCAATCAGAGATTCTACAGCTTGTTGGGAAATGCAATCAAACTATTGTAACAGAATACCATGCCTTGGCGGACGCTACGAACTTAGAAAAACACATGGAGCAGTATAAACTCTACGATAATATTTCGACGAGATTTCAGTTGTGCATTGACTTTGTACACATTATGACCATCTTTCATTCTGGTCAGGGTGGAAAGGTTTACGCTCACTGCGACGGGAACGAAGTACTTATTCTTCTTTGGCAGTTTCTCCTGACAGACGATTTTCGACTCGTGATCAGTGATGTGGACGCACTAGTGGACTTTGAAATACTGAATGGTGTTGCTAAGAAGAAGGTTTGTCCAGTAGAGAGTCGGAATTACTCGGTGCCATTCAACGCCCCAGAACAACATTGGCCGTACAAAGAGGAGCCCTTTAACATATCAAGGATGCCCCCTTATGACGAGAAAATTGACATCTGGAAAATCCCGCATGTTTGCAAGATATTTCTTCATCACGAGTATATTAAAGCAATAGTGTTGCCACATCTTTTGACTATTCACAATAAGTGCAAAAACAAAAACCCCAAAGACAGGCCAAAGGCAACGGAAATCCTGCAAGTTTACAACAACGTGTATCAACATTTGTTTAAAAACAAATCTATTGTTTGACAAATGTACAACATTTTATGTTCAATGTGCCATACTAAAGTATTGCAAAAGAAGAAAGTTACACACGGCGGGTTAACTTCTTCAGTATGTTTACATTGATCACATTGTTCAGTGCAACAGGCCCATAGGAACGACTTAAACAGTCAATACCCGCGAGCTTAAAAAGATTCATTTCAACATTATTTTACAATGATGCAGTTGGTTGAATAATAGTGTAAAAATGTCTTCAATGTACAATAATAGTTCCGAAAACAGAGAATGTATATCAAGAAATCAACCTAAATATTGCAATGCCCAGAATACCAAAGCCATGTCCATGAAGCAGAATTAGTTCAAAAGCGTCTTGATGAGAATAAAACATATGGAGATAACGAACTGTATTCAAGATCAAAAGTCCATAAAACAATACAAAATAGGAGCAAAGCAAACACGGACCTCCAAAATATCAGAGGTGGGATCAGGTGCCATGGAGGAGTGAGCATCCCCTGCAGAAGTCCCTGACTGGGCTTTCAATTCGACAATTGCCCAGGTTGATTTGATATATTCTGTGGATGTGACCGCAGTAGACAGGGATGCTTACTTCCCATGGCCCCTGATCCCACCACGTCAGAGGTTTGTGTTGACTGAACACGTGTCTATCCTCATCGTCGCAAACCACGGCCAAAATGTACGATCCTCTCCCCGTAGGAGAGAGCAATAAGCGGACTCCGAACCGTGGCTTGAGACGATGGTCTACCTATTGTTGCAAAATAGATAAACAAGTTAGAAACTGTAGTAGAAAATTTAAGGATTATGTATTTTTTCAAATACATGTATTGTAAATGCATGCATGAGGAGATATAACTCCTATATCTTGGTGTGGGGAAGAGTTTTTATATACTAGTACTAGTTTTCAGCCTTGGTGCCCTCTTGATGAATTACAGTCTTAAGGAACATTTGTTCACAAATTGATACAGCCACGTAGCATCGATTTTGAAAGTTGGGGGGGGAGGCAGCCAGAGAAATATTTTTTTTTTACTTACCTGAAAAAGTTGACAAGCCAAAAAAAAAAAGGAAAATAAGTTGCCCATAGTCGAAAATCCTATTGGGGGGGGAGGGGGGGGTAGAGGCCAACTTTTTTCCATACCAACTTCTTTCAGTACCAATTTTTTATACTACATTTTCCTTATATCACAAAAAGTGGGGGGGGGGGCAACCAGCCTTTCTATGAACATTTCCTATAGTACATGTATAAGTAAGGAAGGGAAAAAAAGTGGGAGGGGGGGGGGGCCCCCCCCCCCCTCCCTGTTGCTACGTGCCTGTGATAATACATGTGTCACTTATACATGTATCTTTTTATATAATTTCCTTTTAGCAATATGGTTTTAGCTATAGAAATGTTTTTGCTCACTTGAACCTTTTTCTAGTCCTTCTGTATGTCTTTTCCTATTTCTGTCTTTAATTTTGTCTCCTGTTAATTTTTCACATGTTTGACTTTTTAGCTCACCTGAGCCGAAGGCTCAAGTGAGCTTTTCTGTTAAAATCACATTTTGAAACTCTTTAAAAAATTTTTTTTCCAAGAACAACATGCAGGACCGAAAGAGTGAAACCGTCTGTCCGTCTGTCTGTCTGTAAACTTTTCACATTTTCGACTTCTTCTCAAGAACCCATGGCTAAAATAAATGAATTTCAACCAAACTTGCCACAAAGTATCCTTGGGTGAAGGGGATATCAAGTTTGTTCAAATGAAGGGCCACGCCCTCATTCAAGTGGAGATAATTGGGAATTAATGAAAATTTGGTGGCATATTTTAAAAATCTTCTTCTCAAGAACCACTGTGCCTGGAAAGATGAAACTTATGGGGAAACATCCTCAGGTAGTGTAGATTCAAGTTTGTTCAAATCATGATTCCCCCCGGGGGTAGGATTCAAAGCGGGGCCAAAATGGAAAAATCAACCTTGCATTTAGAATTAATATTTTTTTACCAAACTTTTACATAGAAATATATAGGAAAATTCTTTAAAAATCTTCTTCTCAAGAATGACAAAGCCATAATTCATCATATATATATATATATATGGAAGCATGCTCAGGTAGTGTAGTTAGTATAAAAAACCACATTCAAGTTTGATTGGCATTTTATGCATGCATGATCCCCCCCCCATAATTATAGTGCATGGGTAGGGCGGGGCCAAAATGTCTCTCCGACCAAACTTTTACATAGAAATATATAGAAAAATTCTTTAAAAATCTTCTTCTCAAGAATGACAAAGCCATAATTCATCATATTTATAAGGAAGCATGCTCAGGTAGTGTAGATTCAAGTTTGTTAAACACAAATTTAATTACCCCCGGGGGTAGGGCGGGGCCAAAATGGCTGACCAAAGTTTCACATAGAAATATAGAGGAAATATCTTTAAACATCTGCTTCTCAAGAATGACAAAGCCATAATTCATCATATTTATATGGAAGCATGCTCAAGTAGTGTAGATTCAAATTTGTTCAAATCATGACCCCCAGGGGTAGGGCAGGTCCAAAATGGCCGACCAAAGTTTTTAAAAATATATATAGGAAAATTCTTTAAAAATCATTTTCTAAAAATAGTAAATCCATGATTGGTCATGGGACTACTTTTGGATTTAAACTTTACAATAGAAAGCCATTTTCTACTTTTTCCTACCCTTAGTGCTCAGGTGAGCGATGTGGCCCATGGGCCTCTTGTTTAGCTAGCCATATGTAAAACAATTTTCAACCAAACATACTATTCTTGGATGAAAGGAATGGATTCAGATTTGCTAAAATGATCACCCTTTCTTGAAAGGAGTGATATCATGAAAAGGAAACTCTTAAAAAATTTTTTTTCCAAGAACAACAGGACCGAAAGAGTGAAACATATGTGCAAGATTTCTTATGTAATGAATATTCAATTCGTGGTCCCCCCGAGGGGAGGTGAGGCTAACATGAGAAACCAAATTTTACGTAGAAATGTATAGGTCAAATCTTCTTCTTAAGAATAGCATGGCTAATATAAATGATATTGATTTCATACAAACATCCACAGGCTATTTAGATTCCTAAAAGTCAGTCCAAATTTGGCATCTGGGTATTTGGTGGGAAACAAAGGAGGTTCAACGTTTAAATAGAAATATATGGGCAAAGGGATCTTTCAAATATTTATAATAAAAAGATATGCAGATATTGAGGATATATTGCTACATAAGTAAAGAAGGTTGACTATAGAATGAAAAGGGGAGAAATAAAGAACAATTAATCTGTAAACAATACAAACATGTGATAAGCGCATACTATACACGGGCCGCTGGAAATCCCAGAGATGGGATCAGGGGCCTGGGACAAGTTTTACCTGTTCATTTTTTTTCTGATCCCAAATCAATAAAAAAAAAACCCTGAAAGAATGCTGTATTTATATTTATCATGGTACTTTCGAGATGCACTGATCCATTGATGGGTGCAAAGCAGTAACATTCCTTTCTCAACATATACCCTTTTTTTTATTTTCTCTGGAATCAATGACGTTTCTAAAGGTGATAAATATTCTTGCATCACGGATAAGTTTATTCCCTTTCTATAGAAAGCAAGGCGATCTATTTTGGCGAAGATGTTTAGGATTTTTAGATCTGTCAGGTATACACTATAGTTGGATGTAAAGGTTGGAGAAAAATAAGGGTACATGCTTATGTAGATAAAATGATAATGTATGTAGATGAATCATCGTCCATTAGTCTGTTTCACAGTATATGTATATACTTTGTACATGTATATACTTTCGTATGTACATATTCATAAGGTGTGACATGAAAGTGCAATAAGAATACGTAGAAATGTAGAAGTACATGTAATGTAAACTATATAACCCACTGGACAGAATGAAGAGCTTTACATTCAGAAAGAGTGAGTACAAGAAAATTCAAATTGTTTTTGCTGGCACTGTTCCTATGAATGAGCTTTGCCTGATTATTATATACTATTGTATACCAATGTTCCTGTTTCCAATTAGAGGAACAGGTTTCCTTTACCCTAAAGGGATACGAAGTACAATAATGCTTTCCACATTCTAAATTATATAATAATGATAGATACTTTGATTCTTATACAGTTCCATGCCCAATTCCGTCAAAATAATTATAATTTTCTCTTTTTCTAATATTTTTGGAGAAGGGGGTTAGCTAGATTAATACAGAAATGTTACTTTCTTCAGACCATAATAATTTTGCAGATCCTCCAAACTTCCTGTACTGGTTTTGGTTCTTTGGATATTTGTGCGCATGCGTTATTTTGGCGGTTTTCAAGCTTTACCTCCTTCCCAGTAGTTATAAATCACGAAATTTTACTCACAATTCAACTGCAAGTACGCACGCGCCAAATTTTAAATGTATTTGGAGCGTGGTGGACAATCGAACAAAGTGTAAACCAGTATGTGGACACGGTTATTTCGGACTTTACGGAATGGAAGCTTGTCATCCATGGCTGGACTGTGATGAACTTAAGAGCATTAACGGCTCTGAGAAAATACCGTTAAGTACTCCCGGTTCTGTAAAACAGGTATTATATTTTAGTAGCAGTTTTATCAACTTTCATTATTCTGTCTTCTGTAAAAGAGGTACGATATTTTAGTAGCAGTTCTAACAATATCTGCACTCTCTTCTTTAGGTTCGAATATCTAAATGGGAAGGATACGATGTAGTCGTCAAAAAATTGAGAGATTACCACATTGGTAGAAGGGCCCATACAGAGTATAAACATGGTTTACAAATACTGAAAGACTTCTCAAACCATTCCGAAGTCCTACAGCTGGTGGGATTTTGCGACAGTGTTATGGTGACAGAATTCCACGCACTGGCTGACGCCAATAACCTCGAAAAACACTTGATGGTGTACAAAGACTTTGATAATGTTTCCACGAGATTTCAGTTGTGCCTCGACTTTTTATACATTATGACACTTCTCCATTCTGGTCAAGGCGGGAAAGTTTACGCTCACTGTGATGGTAACGCAGTAAGCATTCTTCTTTGGCAGTTTCTTCTGACAGACGACTTTCGACTCGTGATCAGTGATGTTGACGCACTAGTGGACCTTGAAATACTCAATGGTGTTACTCAGAAGAAGGTTTGTCCCGTAGAAAGTCGGAATTACTCGGTGCCATTCAACGCGCCAGAACAACATTGGCCGTACAAAGAGGAGCCCTTCAACATATCAAGGATGCCCCCTTATGACGAAAAAATTGACATTTGGAAGATCCCGGATGTTTGTAAAAGTTTTCTCCATTATATGCCTCTAAAAATTAAAATTTTGCCCCACCTAAGAGACATAAACAATCGGTGTAAAAGCAAAGACCCACAAACCCGCCCCAAAGCATCAGAAGTTTTGGCGGTATACCGTGACGTTCACAGACATTTGATTGGAAATGGTTCAACTATTTTAAGTTTACATCATACTTAATCATCAAATACATGTAAATATGCAATGAAATATATGTATATATATTTATAGAGAGAGAGAATGAGAACCTCATAGCTATGATTGCAAAACAGGAAAGATCTCCACTTTTACAACATGGAGCTCTTGAAAATCTTTTGGTTCAGTTTCAAAGAGAAAAGGTTATACAGTCAGACCTCATTATCTCAAACTCAATGGGACCAAGGAAACTTCAAGATATCCAAGGAATCATGATATCCAGGGTAAAATACTTAGAGAATAATGACTGAGACCTCCAAACCACTTTGAATATCCGAGGTATTTGATATACAGTGGACCTTCAGATATCCCTTTTTTTACAACATGGAGCTCTTGAAAATCCTTTTCATCTGAACAGAGAATTTTTAATGTTACATTGTCTTGTTTAATTGTTAATTCAGATAAGGGACGATAAAAAACCGGACAAATTGACAAGGAACCAAAAATACTAAAAGAAAATGAGGCTCCACTGTATCAGTGTTGGAGATACTGAAGTTTGACTGTATATGGTTATATGACTTTTGCTCCAATGAGAGCTATAATAGAGAGGAGAAAGATGTATCCATTGATTTGCTCATTTATTGTTGATAACAAGTACAGTAAAGCGTCATGACTACCATCTGACAGAACCAATAATATTGCTGCTCACAATAACAATAGTATGGAGTATCACAAGGCTTAACAACAAATACAAACATAAAACCAATTCTGATTGGTCAAAAAAAAAAATACTCCCAGCACTTGCTACACCAGATCTGATTGGTCAAATGATTACAAATGTCAAATACTTTTCTCAAAAATGGATGTGTTAGGTTGAAGTACATGAATCAGACTTCATAACAACAAAAATAGAGTTTTTTCATGACAACTACTATGAATCGATACATCGACGTTGTAAGAAATGTACAACTGTTTCTTTTTATATAGCCAATCAAACTCTAGTAGCACTGGGGATAAATTTTTACATTCCTTTCCAGTGTGATCAATTGAATGAACAGGACTGGACAAAGACCGTTTAAAAAAAAAATGTTGAAAATATCAAAATTTGATTGCTTTCAATGCCTCTGGCATTGGACAATTAAAAAGGTCAAAGTTCAACCTCCATGTTCCTCCAGATTTACTCTGTTGAAAAATATTTTGGACTTTAAGGGTCCAATTCCAAAAAAAAAGCCCCTGCTCTTTAAAAAAACATGCACAGGATAACAGTTTATAAAAAGATATGTCATGCTACATACAGATAAATTCTAAAATGAAGTAAAAATCAAGAAAAATTTGATACCATTGCAAAATATTTATCTTTATTCAAATACTTGACAGAAATAATTGACAACAAGTAAAAATATACATTCTGCTGCAAAAGACAAGACAAAAATAGTCAATGACTGACTATAGTATTTTTTTTACACCTGTATGATAACAAATATTTACCAACAATAAATACACCTGCTTTAAATCCCCACATGTTTCCATCATCAGTATATCACATAGCTTAACTTATTGACAGTAAGTCTATCTGCAAACATCTAGATCACAAAAAAAAGTTCTGAAACAATTTCTTAAATCCTATACACAGATATTTATAATATATAATCGTATATAAATATATTCATAAATAGTTCTCAACACTACAGAATTGTCAAAGGTAATTTTTCTTTTGTACAATCTCTCTATTTCTTTCTGAATTAAATAAAACCCAGGTATTCCTGACCGACTTCGGTCACCTGTACATCTATCTGATACATGTACATAATTAAGGCTCTGTACATCTTCTGGGTTCCAAACGTCCACTATCCTCGCGGCCTACGTGCCCTCTCATCTGGACCCAGGGCATCGGGAAACATCAAAACAGACAACCGACGCTGACTGGTCTGTTTACAGCGACAAGGAGAAGTTATGAATGAATTCACAACATAGCGGCAACAGTCTCTATCAGCCAAAAGCTTGACATGTGCTGGTTTCCATGGTGACTGTTTCTAAGGGTTAGGACTTATCCTCTTCCATTGGTTCGGATGACTCTTCAGACATATTGCTATAAATAAAACAAAAGTCTTATTCTGAATATCTTCTCTAAAGTAATATAATTTTTTTTTAAATTCAAAACATGCACATCCCCAGCATAAAGGACAAGATAGGCTACTGCTCCTTTTTGGCCCCTGGTTTGGAGAGTCTTTCGGGATGATACAACAGTTTATAAATTGAAAACCACTTGTCACCCCCTGCCACAAAATGAGTATTGGGATACACTAAGGTCACAGGAAGATCAGAAAATATGCCAATTTCTGAATTTTTCCATTTTTATTCAAATTTTCTTTGAGTCTATGGTACATTTTGCTTTGGAAAACATACAGCACAGGCTTACCTATCTACCAAATTTATATATTTCATACACTAGTATCAGATGCATTTCATGTATGAAAATCTCAGATAGGCAAGCTTGTGCTCTATGTTTTCCGAAGAGAAAAGTATCTCAAATATGACTAAATTCCACCAGAATTGAGGCACAATCACAACTTTAACAATTTTAACCGTTTGATTTTTACCTCAAATAGGGGACCAGAATCGGCAGTTACCATACCTTGTCCTTTACTCTATATACAGGTAACTTTATCCCCTCTTGTAGAGTTTACTTACCTTTGTTTGGCAGCCACCATAGATAAGGAGGCCAGGGCCGATACTGTGTCAGCTTCTTCCATTTCCCTCTTTTGTGCCTCCATCAGTGAATAATGAATGGTCCCTAGATACCTCTCAACACAGCGCCAGTGTTTAGCTGTTGTCCAAAAAAAAAAAAAAATTATCACTTCTGTTTCATATAATTACCAAAAAAACCCAAACAAATTGATTGTAGTCAATGTAGATAACTTTCACCATTGCTAAGTGTCAATGTGTGTTTACAAACTGTGAAAAAAAGGTCCATTCTCAAACTTAAAGGCACCCTGCTATATTAAATATAAACATGTAAAACTCGGTTATAACGAAGTCGCAGGGACCTATGAAATTACTATATCCGTAATTCGTCATATCCGTATAAGAAATTTGTTTAATCTATATAGCTGGGATTGAACACAACTTCGCTACCGTATACAGTGAACCTTCAGATATATAAGAAATTCATTTCGGAACAAAATTTTTAAATGTTATAACTGGTGATTCAGATAGACTTCACATATCCGGACAAAGTGAATGGGAACCAAAGCGTCCGGATAAATGAGGGTCCACTGTAATTGGAAATTTTAGCGAGATGCAAATTTAGCGATTTGTCAATAAAAACTGGTAATTTATTTTTAGCGAGATGTTATTTTAGCGATTTTAAAATGCACATTAAAGAAGCTATTACAAATTAAATGCAATTAATTTTTAGTGATATTCAATTTTAGCGATCTCGGCACCCTCACTAATAATGCCAAAATTAAATCCTCGCTAAAAATTCTACTTATACGGTATTATCCCTGAATTCGCAATATCCGTGTTCTTACTAAACAAGTGTTACTGTATAGTGATCAGGTAAAATTTGTGTGTTTCCTAGCTCACCCTGTATTTTAATAGTTTCTTCTAGCGTTTCCAGCCCAGGTTTACAGGGGGCGCGACACAGCTCTTCTTCTTTCACCGGTGGGAGCTGTAAACAAAAACAGAACAGAACTGGTCAGTTGATCAATCACTTTCTCTTTTAGAGAACATTTTGTTTTAACACAAAATACTGGACAGGTTCTCCCATAAAACTTAACCATGCATGTACAACAGCACAGTAATGAATTCTTTAAATTACTGTAAATCAACTTTTATTTGCGTACGAGAAATATCCATGAATTTCGAAACCTATTCAAACTCGCAAATATTGATTGCTGTGAAATAGTTTTGCTATGTATTTTTAGAGGACGTTTCCTATGTAGGGAAAATTAATCGTTCTGGATCGATTCTTATCTGACAAATCACAAATAAAGGATGACACTCATAATAGTTGGTTTACAGTATAAGTAAAAGAAATTTTTCTATAGTGCCCCCTTAGTCCAACTTTCAACCAACAGAAATATGTTTTAATGTTGGAATCTGTACCTCATCTCCTAGAAGAGCTTTGATACAAAGTTCTGTAGCATCACAAATAGCTGGCAGATGATAGCCGCCCTCTAGCGCTAGGACTAGCTTGCCGTCCGCCAATGACATCAGTTCACGAGTCATGTGACCAAAACCTGGGAAAAAAATCATCAATTGATTGACATTTTTATGAATGAATTTGGGCAACTTCTTGAAATCATAGTCTGAACCAACATACGATCAATCAATCTAGGTAACTTACAATAAATCTTGAATGGGACATAAAGCAACATATGATTAGTCAATCTATAAACACTTACAGGCTGCGGAGACATTGTAGCCTCCCAAGGGTGGGGGATGTCCTACAGCGGCATCAAATCCCGCAGATATTAACACAATGTCTGGACTAAATTCCTTGGCAATGGGCATTAGAATAGTTCTGTAAAAGATAGAAATTAATTTAGGAAAATCCACATCATTTTCCAATAACATTAAAAGATCCATACCAGCCATACTAAAAAGAAACAAGAGGCCCAGGGGCCACAGCGCTCACCTGAGCACATCAGGCTTGAATTTACTCCCACCCCCACACCCCCTCCAGGCGTTCATCATTTGAACAAACTAGAATCTACACTACCTGAGGATGATTCCGTATAAATATCACTAATCATAGCTTTGAAGTACTTGTAAAGAAGATTTTAAAAGGTTTCCCTATATATCCCTATGTAAAACTTGGGTCGGCCATTTTGGCCCCACCCTAGCCCCGGGGGTCATGATTTGAAGAAACTTAAATCTGCTCTACCTGAGGATGATTTCACATGAGTTTTATCTTTCCTGGCCCAGTGGTTCTGGAGAAGAAGATTTTTAAAGATTTTTCCTATATATTCCTATGTAAAACTTGGGTCGGCCATTTTGGCCCCACCCTTGCCCCGGGGGTCATGATTTGAACAAACTTGAATCTTCACTACCTGAGGTTGCTTCCACATGAGTTTCATCTTTCCTGGCCCAGCGGTTCTGGAGAAGAAGATTTTTAAAGATTTTTCCTATATATTCCTATGTAAAACTAGGGTCGGCCATTTTGGTCCCACCCTTGCCCCGGGGGTCATGATTTGAACAAACTTGAATCTTCACTACCTGAGGATGATTCCACCTGAGTTTCATTTTTCCTGGCCCAGTGGTTCTTGAGAAGAAGATTTTTAAAGATTTTTCCTATATATTCCTATGTAAAACTTGGGTCGGCCATTTTGGCCCCACCTTTGCCCCGGGGGTCATGATTTGAACAAACTTAAATCTCCTCTACCTGAGGATGATTCCACATGAGTTTCATCTTTCCTGGCCCAGTGGTTCTGGAGAAGAAGATATTTAAAGATTTATCCTATATATTCCTATGTAAAACTTGGGTCGGCCATTTTGGCCCCACCCTAGCCCCGGGGGTCATGATTTGAACAAACTTAAATCTCCTCTACTTGAGGATGATTCCACATGAGTTTCATCTTTCCTGGCCCAGTTGTTGTGGAGAAGAAGATTTTTAAAGATTTTTCCTATATATTCCTATGTAAAACTTGGGTCGGCCATTTTGGCCCCACCCTTGCCCCGGGGGTCATGATTTGAACAAACTTGAATCTTCACTACCTGAGGTTGCTTCCACATGAGTTTCATCTTTCCTGGCCCAGCGGTTCTGGAGAAGAAGATTTTTTAAAAATGCCATTAATTTTTAACAAATTCATGATTATCTCCCCTTGGAAAAGGGCGTGGCCCTTCATTTGAACAAACTTGAATCCCCTTCACCCAAGGATACTTTGTGCCAAGTTTGGTTGAAATTGGCCCAGTGGTTCTTGAGAAGAAGATGAAAATGTGAAAAGTTTACGACGACAACAACGACAACAACGACAACGACAACGACGACAGACAACGGACAAATTTTGATCAGAAAAGCTCACTTGAGCCTTCGGCTCAGGTGAGCTAAAAACAGAATTTCCAAAACCAAAAGTCTCATTCATTGCTTAAATACTGAAGAAAAATGAAAATTATTGTTTTATCAAAAGTGTGAAGAATTCACTTCAGGTTTTCATATCTTATATTACTTTGTATTTGTAATTTTTATTCCCTAATTGCTTATGTTCTTAATTCCTCTTTATATATTATCATCTCAAAAAACAAAACTTACCTAAAGGCTGCCAGGTATTCGGCATCTCCCATGGGCGGTGACAGGGAACCACTAAACCCAATGTTGACATTGAACCCCAGCCCCTCATTGGCGCCACAATCCGTGGGGGACCCAGTCCCTGGGAAAAAGTTCCCATTGTCATGACGATGTATAGATATGTACAACACATTAGGGTCATTGTAAAAGTTTTGCTGGGTGGAGTTTCCGTGGTGAACGTCCCAATCCACAATGAGAATTTTGTTCACTTTTGATTTCTCCCTCAACTGTTTTGCTGCTATGGCAACAGAGTTGAAATAACAAAATCCCCTGCAAAAAAAAGAACAACCTCTTAATAACAAGTACAAGTTCCTCTCATATGCTTATTAACCTTTACAACTTGTATGCAAGACATAAGAAGAAAAAAATCCATTTCAGGTTTGAATGGACCCAATTTAAGCCCAGCATTTGCAATGGACAATACAGAAATACAAACATTCCTTGGTGTACACCACATTTGGCTATAAAAAAGAAGGCGAAAAGAGCACCTAACCTCCTTAAAGAACTAAATGAAGAGTTATTTCTCTTTGCTCATATAAATAATCCAAACTCAAACTTACATAGGTTGGTTATGTTCCGCATGGTGACCTGGAGGCCTCACGATCGCAAAACCATTCTGTAACAACAAAATATATCATTGTTAGTACAAAACTGTTCTGTAAAACCCAGATATATCACTGTTAGTACAATCCAACAACATTAAAGGCAAAGGAGAGAATTGAGTGACCAAAAATTAGATCTAATGCATGCAGAAAAATAAACTTTAGATCTATAAACACTGATAACAATCGGATGAGCTGTATTACGCAATCTGTATTACCTTCAATTCCTTGTTGGCAACTCTTGTTGCTAATTCTGTAACACACCCTGCAGCCTAAAAAATCAAGATGATAACACCACGTTAGCAGGGAATCCCTGGCAGATATCAATACTCGTCTGAACCAAATAAATTTGATGCAACCTTTATCTACTCAGTGAACATGATCTTAAGTGTGTATGTGATCGCTGTAAGAGTTTACCATTCTTGATGCCGTGTACGTGTGCATTTCATTCCAGACTGTGTCCGAGTCGACGCCTATACCTCCACACGGTAGCATACAGAACTGAATGTGGTCTGTAAAGAAATCAGCCAGAAAGACATCACAATATTGTATAGATACTTTATGTGTACTTTAAAAACATGGGCTTCATATTTTAGTGGCTTTGGTGCTGACAACAATACACTAATTTATGTATACCGTTAAAAAGTATTTTTGAAAATAAAATAATATGCAGATGTGATCACACTTATTTATAGTTACGTCAAACACTCAATATAAAAGTTGTTGCACAAAATTTGAATCTGTCAATTTATGTAAATGCACTGTATACAGTTGACTGCAACTGAATACCCTTCATAACTGAAAATTGAGAAAACAAAAAGAAGTTTTAATTGTGAAATATTTGTATAGCCTACCAAGTAATCGGTGTCGATGCATGGGGTTTGTGCCGTATAGTAATGTGTGAAGTTCTGAGTGACAACTTTGAAGTTCTTCAATCGTCGCACGGCGACTTTTGATTTTCTGAAAGAAAAAAGTTCTTTTTTTAAATACTAAATCCTAAAAAAAAAATTTAATGAGGCAATGGATCTTTTTTTTTTCGATTAGTGAAATAGGTTTCAACTGAATGATTTCAATGTAGGATAAATTTCTTAGAATACAGACACTTGTTCAGGGGATATCTATTTTACAGTACAGTAAAACTTGTCTCATCTAGATGTTGTTTAATCCAAAATCTTGACTAATACAGTGTAAACTTCAGTTCTAGATTTATTCACTTCAACAAACATACGGTGATTTTGCAGGCGACGATTTGATTGGTTGATAGAATTTGACCTCTGATGTGACCCTCTTTGGGATGTTGTTAGATGTTAGTGTAGTGAGTATGCAAGCAGATCTAACATCTAATTTTAATTAGATTGATGTTGTTTAATTTAGAATGTTGTTCATTCCAGCCAATTTCTTAAGAACAAGCAGTGTGGGGATAGGACAATTTTTAAGTAATGATACACACCTCACACCGGTTGATGAGCCCTGTTTCTTGCACGCGTGACCAGATACTCTGTAATCGACCAGCATTTTCTGGATGGTTAGCGTTATTTCCACACATACACTGATGTTTCTGCATGATTGAATCATATGCAATACCTACAAAATAAGCACAATTGTAAGTTTTAGATATCACCACAACACTAAGTCTTGCTATACACAGATAAACGTGCAATGCGCTTTCATTAAGATATAGATTATTGATACTTTAAAACCTTCAAAAATATTCTTCAATTGAATGTCTAAAAAATCTTCATTTAAATCACACAAAAAAGAAGCAGTATTCCAAATCTCTGATGAAAGTTACAGTGCAGGTAACTCCTTGTGTTCTACCTGTGTCCCTGTTACTTTGGGTGTACAACCTTAAGGTGCTCTTCCTGTGTCCCTATTACTCCACATACATGTCCTTAAGGTACCCTACCTTTGTCCCAGTTATAATGAGTTGGAAATCTTTAGGTGCCCTATCTGTGTCCCTGTAACTCTGTGTACATGACCTTAAGGTGCCCTTCCTGTGTCCCTGTTACTCAGGGTAGACAACCTTAAGGTGCCCTTCCTGTATCCCTGATACTCTGGGTAGAACAACCTTAAGGTGCCCTTCCTGTGTCCCTGTTACTCAGGGTAGACAACCTTAAGGTGCCCTGTGTTCCTGTTACTCTGGGTAGACAACCTTAAGGTGCCCTTTCCTGTGTTTCTGATATTATGAGTAGGAGATCATTATGTACCCTACTTGTGTCTCTGATAATATGAGTAGGTGATCTTTAGATGCCCTACCTGTGTCTCTGATCTCTTGGTAGACAACATTAAGGTGCCCTTTCCTGTGTTTCTGATATTATGAGTAGGAGATCATTATGTACCCTACTTATGTCTCTGATAATATAAGTAGGTGATATTCAGGTGCCCTACCTGTGTCTCTGATACTCTTGCTAGATAACCTTAAGGTGTCCTTCCTGTGTTCCTGTTACTCAGGGTAGACAACCTTAAGGTGCCCTATCTGTGTCCCTGTGTCTTTAGGTAGGAAACGTTAAGGTGCCCCTACCTGTGGTATATCTGTATGAGATGGGTTGTGCTTCCTGTGGTTCTGGGGGTGGGATGGACAATACTAATGGACTAGACTGTGTGCGGGCCAGCGGCCGGTGGTGGGAGGGGCCTTTGTGACGGGGTTTCATGGACAGCTGCATATCTTTCTCCTCCATATACGATTCGTCCATTTTTTCTCGTTCTCGCATTTCCTCATTCATCTGCTCTCGAGACTCACGCATCTCCTGCAAAAGATAAATAAAAGATGGGTTTGTTTTTAGCATGAGCAGAATAATCTGGGCACACAAAATGCATACTAGTAGGTATGTCTCGCACTTTCTGTAGAACTATATATATTTTCACCAAATGCTTTTGTCCGTCAAGAAATCCTTTCAGTTACAACTAAATCCAAAAAGAATCATCAACGTTTATAATTGTTCTCTTATTTAATTCTCATTCCCCCTGTGACCTCAATCACATAATTAAAATCCTTCAATTTTCCTTTACCTGTTTTAATTCTACCCATATCGTACATATTCTAACTTTCCATTTACCTGTGCTAGCCTGGCCTCCATATTCTATTTATATCCCTTTATAACATTCTGTATACCTGTGCTAGCCTTTACATCTCTATATGTTTTGTTTACCTGAGCTAGTCTGGCCTCCGTTTCCTCGTCCACGTTCTCCATGTGAGACTTACTCCCGACCCTCTGTAACACTGCCTGTCTAATGTGCTGCTTAACAAACATTTTATCCTTCATCAGTTGCTCTGAAGACAGGTTGCCGTGGTCCCCTGTTGCTGCCGCTGCTGCTGCGGCCTGCTGGTGCATCTGTAGATAGGTTTGTTGTAGGAAGGGGTGACCGATGGGCAGGGGGGCTGAGTGGGTTCTGTTCAGGGGCTTGTGACGCCTAGAATAAAGCAGGTGGGGGGTCAGTTTTTCCTCCATAAAGCCTGACAGGCCAAGTTTTGATCATTATATACAGTCTAAATATTGATATGGGGAGATACATCCAAACAGCATTGAATTCCTTTACTATAATTCACTTTTTTTTGTTGTTAGAATACTATTTTCTCCTAATTACCGGTGCTGCTCACAAAAAATTTTCTTTCTTGTATATATATTTTTGCACTAAAATTGAATACTACAATAAACATTGCAGAACTTATAAAAAAAAATTTGCTGTGACATATAAATTCGAAATATCTTGAAAAAAATAAGATGCCCAGAAAACTTCAGGGATCTTACATTATTTGTTTATTACTTCTGAATTCTTTTACCAAGGGCATTGATTAAAATCTTACCCTGAGTGAATCCTGGCATGCCTTGCCTCTGAGGCCGCGCTGCCTGGCATGGCCTGTAGGGAGGAGTAGGGGAGGGACTGACCCAGTTTGGCTTGGTTACGGGCCTCCTCTAGGGCCTTTATCTGGGCCGAGAGGAGGGCCGGATTGGAGGGGTGGTTGAGATCAGCTTCATGCCCTGTAAAGGCAAATGTTTTGTGCATTGTGGCTATTTTCTTCACAGGAAGAGTAATATAGAAAGATAATAGAATAGGGAAATCACAGCAAAACACATATGTAAGTAAACCTACACATGTTCAACTTAACTTACAAACTATAGCATTAATTTGTGTAACAATTTTTAAACAACAAAATTTTAATACTTGTTGACGAAGCATGAATTCATTGCATTTCATAATAATGTTTATCATAAGTTACTGTACTAGTATTTTCTGTGAAGAAAGCAATTTTTTCTGCTGACTGTAACTGAATTTTAATGTGGAACAATCTAGAAGCTCAATATATAAAAACGTAGATACCTGTCATTGGGTAAAGTGGGTAGCCAGCCAGGTGAGCTGGCAGCCCGTGCCCGGAGTGACTAAGACTTCGCAGGTCTGCCTCGGGGGAACTAGAATTACCCTGCGCAAAAAGGAAAGAAATTACGTAGTAATATACACTTTAATAGTACAAAAAAGGATACATATCAAACATAGGTAATCAGAGATTACAGAGCTCACCTCAACGAATGTTGTCTTTAAGTAAGGCAAAGTCACACAATTCACCAACAAACAGTGTACATTCCAAAAATGAAAATATTTAAGCAATTTTGATCTGATACTTTGAAATAGACCTACATAAAAAATTTAAACTAGTTCTTCTTCATGAAAATCTAATCAAAATCCAGCATCTGAAGCAAATTTGAGAGTTTTCATCTCTTGATGCAACATTTGTGCAAGTTTGGTTTATACAATGTTATATAAGCCTTTATAGTTATAGTTTTTTGGAAATAGACCTGCAACCATAACTTTTACCTGGTCTATTATCTGAAAAATGTATGTCGAATTCAGCATCCAAAGCATCCATTAGTGTGTATCCTAAGATGTATCATCCATGCAAGTTTGCTCATTATAGGGCTCATAGTTAATTGGAAATGAAACATGCATCAAAAACTAACATTTTCACTCATCCACAAAAAGGACGTCAGATTCAGCATCCGAAGCAAGCCTGGTAGTATGCATCCTTAGATGTATCATCCATGCAAGTTTGGTCATTAAAGAACTCATAGTTACTTGAAAATGAAACCTGCACCAAAATCTTTTACCTGTTCACTCAACCAGAAAATGTAGGTCAGATTCAGCATCCGAAGCAAGCCCGGTAGTGTGCATTCTTAGATGTATCATCCATGCAAGTTTGGTCAACATAGGGCTTAAACTTACTTGCAAATGAAACCTGCACAAAAAAATTTAACCTGTTCACTCAACCGGAAAATGTAGGTCAGATTCAGCATCCGAAGCAAGCCCGGTAGTATGCATCCTTAGATGTATCATCCATGCAAGTTTGGTCAACATAGGGCTTATAGTTACTTGGAAATAAAACCTGCACCAAAAACTTTAACCTGTTCACTCAACCAGAAAATGTAGGTCAGATTCAGCATCCGAAGCAAACCTGGTAGTATGTATCCTTAGATGTATCATCCATGCAAGTTTGGTCAACATAGGGCTTATAGTTACTTGGAAATGAAACCTGCACCAAAATCTTTTACCTGTTCACTCAACCGGAAAATGTAGGTCAGATTCAGCATCCGAAGCAAGCCTGGTAGTATCAATCCTTAGATGTATCAATCATGCAAGTTTGGTCAACATAGGACTTATAGTTACTTGGAAATGAAACCTGCACCAAAATCTTTGCCTGTTCACTCAACCGGAAAATGTAGGTCAGATTCAGCATCCGAAGCAAGCCTGGTAGTATGCATCCTTAGATGTATCATCCATGCAAGTTTGGTCAACATAAGACTTTTAGTTAATTGGAAATGAAACCTGCACCAAAAACTTTAACCTGTTCACTCAACCGGAAAATGTAGGTCAGATTCAGCATCCGAAGCAAGCCCGGTAGTATGCATCCTTAGATGTATCATCCATGCAAGTTTGGTCAACATAGGGCTTATAGTTACTTGGAAATGAAACCTACACCAAAAACTGCACCAAAAATGTTAACCTGCTCCAAAAAACATTAATCTGGTCATTTCTTTGTTTAAACCGCAGCATCTGAATCTTGGACTGGTACAATGAAAGACACTAGAAGCATCTTCCATGCATGTCTAATCAATATAGGACATAGAAGTACTTAAAAAGAAAACTGCCCCAAAAAACTTAACCTTAACCTGGGACGCCGACGCCGACGCCGACGCTGAGGGTATCACATAAGCTCCCCCCAACTTCGTTGAGGTGAGCTAAAAAGTAGCGGTTAGATTTTTTTCTGTTTGCTAGGGTTTCTCACACTGAGCAAACTGATTTTTCAACAAGAAATAACTTATTATACATACTATCAACAATGTCATTGAAATACATAATAAATAACAGAAACTGACCCCAAATGCAAATGTCTTGTGGCATGATTTTTATAGGATATATTCTAAATTCAAAAAATCACTTGAACATCAGGGATAGTTCATAGAAAAGTATTTTTTACATTACCCCCAAAACAATCTGGAACCCTGTAAAACAGGGGGCGGGGGAGTTACTTGGCCCTAAACAAACTGAACTCCCTGTAAAACATGAGGGGGAGGGGTTGTTATTGGACCCTAAACAAACTGGACTCCCTGTAAAACCTGAAAGGGGGGGGGGGGTACTGGACCCTAAACAAACTGGATACCTCTAAAACATGGGGGAGGGGGGGGGGTAAGTGGACCCCAAACACACTGGACTCGATCCCATAAAACAGAAGAGAAGACTTACAGATGAAGAGGCTGGTCGTCCTAGGGAGATGTTAGGCATGGAGGGTGATGGGTAGAGATCGTTGGCATGGTAACCCATGGAGCGGTACAGTAAGAAGGGGTAGGAGCCTCCATCCTGAAATCAAACAAAGCATGTGTTAATACTTCACTAAATCAAGATCAATTTTAATTCTCTTGATTAAAATATACATCACCAAATCAAGATATACCTTATGAAATAAAGTAAAAAAAAATTCAAAAAATCAGATAAAAACATCAATGTGATAATTAAAATTTCATGAAATCAGATAAAACTTTTATTAATTAAAATTTCATCAAATCAGGCAAAATTTGTGTAAATTAAAATTTTATGGAATTAGACACTTGTTTTCACATAAAATTTTCAAATCATCAGAAATTGTATAGTTTACATGTTTCTTATGTAATCTAGACATATGTACTCCAAGAGTAGACAAAAAAAATCAAATCCATTTCACCTATTTGGAGTTCGCTTATATCTAAATCATACTCAGAGATTACATTTCCCATTTCTCATGTTTCTAGTGTTAGGCATTTAGGAGGTTTGGCAAACATCCTTTCTCTCGGTATAGGCCACTTTTTTGGGGGGAGGGGACACTTTCGCCATAATTACACATGAAAGTACAAAATATCAACAATCTGGTGTTTTGAACTATTGAATAGTTCTTGGCAAATAGTGATTCACATAACTACATCAAGTAATTTCTCTATTTAATGTGTTGTTTATTAAAACCACACTGCCCTGTTTTATTCTGGCCGACAAACTTTTCATAAGATCTGATCTTTTGAAAGTTTATTCAACAGCCAAATTCCAGTTTACAAGATAACTTGTATCCTTTTTTTTCTTCTTGCTGCCAAAATTGTTAGCAATCAATAACATTAGAAACCATTTTTTTTTTTTATCAAGCTTAAAAAACTATTTTTCCTGCCTCTACGGCCTTGTTATCTTGGTGAATGTACATTTCTAAAATAGACAGCCATAGAACAAGAAAGAATCTATCAAACGCACAGCGGTTCTATGGCCCCATCTAATAATAAAATTCTTTTTTGAGATTTACACCCCTCCTGATAGTTATCTGAAGGGAAAACATTTCTGTAATTATATCAGCGAATTCTGAGAAACCTCTCTTGCCAAACAGAGAATCTATTTAGGGCCGCATTCAGCAGTAAGCACCACCGACATTTGCAAAACAGACTTTATCCTAGCACAGTAATTAAAAAATTCCGCTCAACAAATGCCAAAAAAATACTCCGTCTTGCCATGGAATGCCTGATATTTGGTATAAACACCCTGTAAATTGCATCTTCATTTCCAGCAATAGTAATGACAAAACATTAATAGAAAGGCATCAACAGGCAAGGGCAGAGAAGCGCACTTTTACTCCTTCCTAAAGTCAAACCTCGTTAGCTAGACACAAGTACCTTAACCTGTACTAATGGTACAATGTTAACTCTCTCTCAAAACTTAAAGAAAAGGCAAGCTATAATACATTCACAGTCATAGGCTTTTAATTACACTGAAAACAAACTTGAGATGTACAGCTCTTAATTAAGTGTTCTCTTTGGGTAAACTTCTATATCTATCAATTTCAATATAGTATAATCACCCTCACAGTGTGTTGGGGGGATTTTGAGAAATTCTTAGACAAGAATTCTAAAAACCTGCAAAACAAAATATCACTTAGTGTAAAATTCTTCATGTCTCACTTGAATAATGACCATTTTCTGGAATTTTTAGGGTATCAATTTGATCAAAAACTTATTATTCTCAGTACAGTACAACAAGGGCACATAGCTCTGGAATTTGAAGTTCTACGTAACTGCACAATAACAAGATTTCAATAAGACGTCAAATTGTCAGTATTTTGAGTTATCACATAAAAACTATTTTTGATAAACCCAAGATTTTACAAGTGTTAATGGGACTGTTTCATGTTACATTCTGCTAGTGTCACATGAAATTGCCTTATTTCCATTAATCTTTTCATTTTTGGGGGGAGTAAAAACAAATGCAGAGAGCTACATGGCATGCCAACACTACTATTTATACAGATCCTACTTATTTATATAAACACCGGGTTTGTATTGGGAGGGTACCAACAGGACGTACTTTTAGTGTAATTCGTGAACTCTTGTGTACTAATAAATTATAGATTCAGCGAAATAGTATCCTATAGAGTGTTGACCAACAAAGACTTCAAGGTCACCACTTCAAGGTCCTGATCTGAGACAGGAATTCCAGAGCCCTCAACCACAAAATCCGTGATCAGCGGCCATCACAATGTCAGGTCAGGAAACTCACGAGGAGGATAAACTTCCTGTGTAACGTATTTTTCTAACTCTATCATATCTCGTGATTCAATCCATTTGATCAATCAGAAAAAGGTTTTTTTTTGGGGGGGGGGGATGGGGGCCTCTTCAAAGTTGGATTTTTTTTTTCAAAATCTGTTTTGAAGGAAAACTCTTGAAACAAAATGCAAGGAATGTGATGATATCTTTCTCTGTATCCAGTAATGTAGCAAGTGTTTATCACTTGATAATGCTTGCGAAATTCCTTTCCATTACTTGTTATAAACACAGATTAATTGTTCTGCAGACTTGTTTTTCTTCCTTGTTCAAGAAACCAAATTTTTTTTTCTTATCCATCTTAAACACCAGTCACCTGTACATTGTAAAGATGTTGACAATCAAAGTCATGGATTTTAAAATCAAAACTGTCAGCATGCATATTTTTTTTTGGGGGGGGGGGGGGGGGGGGGGCATTCCTTTTAAGAAAATTTTTTAAAAATGGTTTCATCTCTTTAATATGCATATAGCATGCAAACTCATTGCTATTTGTTTCTTATTTGCCTTTAAAGCTCTTTTACATCTGTAATCCATGTAATTCTTTCCCTCAATGGCAAGAATCTGATTATAAAACATTCCCTAACTAATGTAAAAGTATGAGCTCATCGATCATAAGGATTTAAACCGTTAACCTATATATAAATGTGACTCTACTGCTTAACTGACTGCCACAAGAAAACCTTCTTAAGTAACAAATTTAGTACACAGCTCAAAACAGACATCTTTAAGTGAGTTTGACGTCCATATTATACTTTATGCATTTTAACCTTAATATCTTGAATCCTTGGCTATCTCGGTGTATTTCTTGGACCAATCAAATTTGCGGTAACAAGCTTTGTCTATATCTATGTAAATACAGTAAGTTTGCCCGATTCAGACACCACGGGATCCCAATACTGTAAACCAACTTTTATTTGTGTGTGAGAAACTTTCATGAGGTTCAAGAGAGCCTCTTCATCCAAATACTTCTCACTGTGAACTGGCCCTTAAAGTCTCTGTGTCTCTTTAGTCATCCAACAAAAGGCTTGATCGCGAAATTTAATCTTCACAAAGTAGTTGACCCCTGATGAATCGTGAAATAAAGTTGTCGCCAAAAACAGTTGGTTTACAGTAAATTGCCCTGATTAAAAACAATTTTACACAATTGAATTGAAGTGACATAAAGTTTAGGTCGTATTTGGGAAGATTTCGAATTTCACAACATCCAAGTTTCACTGTACAGTAAAACTTGGTAAAACAAAGTCAACAGCACCTGTGAAATTACTTTGCTATATCCATAATTCGTTATATCCCATGTAAGAAATTCGTTAAATTTAAATAGCTGGGGATTCAAGATAGCTTTGCTATATCTGTAAATTCGCAATATCCATATTTGTATTAAATGAGTTTTACTGTATATAAATGTATCTATACCTCTTTGGAGGTCATGCTGCCATTGACCATTGAAGCGTGGAGACCAGCGGGCGGGGAGTTTGGTCCGGAGTCTGAGTTACTGCTACAGTCCACTAAACAAAACAAATAGACATTATAAATACGCATATAAACAACAGGGAGGAGGGTATAAAGACAGAAAAAAGGCAGGAATTCCAACATAAAAAGCATAGACAGAGAAATATTCACCAACATCATTTTCCCCCCACAAATAAGAGTGTAAAAAATGAAAATCTCTTAAACGTTAAAGGAATATGTCAAACAGTCTGACACTTAAAGAAATAAATAAGACCATTAGTACTGGAAAATTATGTGAAATTGATTGTTACAAACTAAATTTATCATTTACAAAATTCACAAAAACATTCCAAAACAAACAGTTGGCATGCAGCCACAGACAATGTGGGATAGTGGTTGTAATGAGTTTCTGCCTGCTTTCAAATTGAAGCTGATAAAAAGTCACTTCTGAATTTTCAACAGATATTTTATTCTTTGCCATGTAAAAAAAAAAAGTGTTGAAAAATCTAACATACAAGTAACATAGAAATAACATATAACTTGGTATGCACAGTATATCAATAAATATGTGAAATAATTAAGAAATAAAGAAAACCAAGAAAAGAGAAATGAAAGAGTCCTAATTAAATACTAAAATTCTTTTTTTTTAAAGTTAATTTTAGAAATGAAAAAAAATATCCAGAAAAACCAAATCACTACAAAAAAAAATTATAGTTTTAACCCCTGTTCTTTTCACTACTCAAACAAAAGTTGGTGTTTATTTTACAATTCATGAAGAGTTTCAAACACATGCCACAATGCGTAAACAGAGACATGCGATGACCTGGAGATACCTACGTGAGAGCTGTGGCTTTCGTTTGACAAACTTGTTCTTTCGGGGTAAGATCGGACTATGGTTTATCCTCCGCTGACTTTCTAGTTTTTGTTTTAGCGCAGATCTCACCTTCAAGTTGGGCTCCGAGGCTGAAAATCAAAACAACAATTCAGTTCACACGCACACGCAATCAAAAAAAGCTGTAGAGCTACATCAAGAGCAGTGCATATATAACATATCATTGTCCCTAGTCCTTTTTTTGTCACGTATACGTACAGTAAACCAATAATAACTTTTACACAATTTTTTTTATCTGGAAAAAAATTACTGTTTGCTATGTATTAATATATCTTTTTTTCTTAATAATCACAGTTCTGGCATCAAACATAAATAGACAGGTCAATGGACTGGCTACATAAAATTTTTGCAATTACAAAAGGACAACAAACTGACAACTGGTTTGCAGTATCAGATAGGCAATTTCTCCTTAGCTACATGTACCCGGTACTTGAAAATGCTTTGATTGAATCTAATACATGTACTTAAAATGATCTGAGTTATGCATGTACTTGAATCTAATACTTTGTTGTAATACTTTATTTGGGTTTATGTGATCTCACAAGACTTAACATTTCATTACTTAGTAGCTGTTTTATATATATATTATTATATACGAGCATATATAGATATTGTTTAGGCGGATTTAGCTACAAAGGATCAAGATAACAGATATACATATATATTTCTATCTTAGTGTCTTTTCAATCATAATATACAACTTATGATGCTTGTAGCTACAGAAAAGTGACCAAAATCAAATTAATTTGACCTTTTGACCTTGACCTTTGACCAAACAACTAATTCTATTGGTCAAGACTTTCATCAACTTCTGCTTATATGCAAGTCTGTGAGATCGTTAAATTGAAAATCACTCCTGTTACCGAGCAGGAAGCATACTGTTCCTAATGGAAAGTCAGTAGATTTTCTCATACATCTTATAAAAGCAAGATTCTGAAGCAGTTGTATTGAGACTGGGGGTAGATAGAGACTTGAGACAAGTTTTATGGGGGTTAGTAAAACATTTCGACTGCTATACATGCAGCATCATCACATTATATCCCAAGTCTACACAGAAAACAAGAACTGCAACTTTTACTTGTCACTCAAACTGAAAGCTTGCAATTATCTGCTAGTTAAAAACACCATAAATCGCTTTTTTAACATATTTTCTCTGCTACCATTTTCAAACACCTCCTTTTTAACCCCCTCCCCCCCCCCCCAATCTTAATTTCAGTAGTAACTTTCACCCTTTGGTACATGAATTACACAGTTTGAGTCACATTACAAGATGCACAAGAAACAGACAGTTTACAAGAAGCGGGGTACCTGTTTTCCTCAGGGGGAAGTCTTCGTATTTGCCCAGGAGGTGTGAGGCATAGGGCGGTGAAATCCCCTGGGGTGGGGAACTCTGATCCACACTACAACCGAAAATACACAGGTCAATAAATACAGGAAAAATTAGCTGCTGTCAATTACTTTTTATTTGAGAAAACTTCATTTTTTTTGCATAATTAAGCAAAACGGCATACTTTTAAATTTTAATCTCGTGTATATATAATCAACAACTATAAACAATTACAAAGCAATATTGTCTAAAATTCATGAAAATTTCAATTTCACTTATCTACTATCAACAATTATAAAGCAATGAATAAAATTCATGGAAATTTTGTTTTGCTTATGAATATCAAACAACAACCTTATGAATATAACTAGTTCTCACAAAAATTTATTCATCTATAGTATCCATGCATTTTCTCAAAATACTATAAAATATTCCTTTCCCCCATAATTTGAATGATTTTGTGTAGCATGCACCCAACAGTGCTAGTGTACATGGATCTTTACTCAATCTAATTAAAATTAGATGATAGATTCGCTCGCATACTCGCTACACTAACATCTAACAACATCCCATTGAGGGTCACGTCAGAGGTCAAATTCTATCAACCAATCAAATCGTCGCCTGCAAAAACATCGTATATTAAGTGAATAAGTCTAGAGCTGTTCAGAATTTGACCTCTGACATGACCCTTTATGGGATATTGTTAGATGTTAGTGTAGCGAGTATGAGAGTGAATTTATCATCTAATTTTAATTAGATTGATCTTTACTATTCTTTATACAGAGTAATAAACTGAGGAGGTTGCTGCCTGGGGCTGTACCCGTTATTTTATACCTACCCCCATCGTAAGGCCGGAGGTGAATTCCTGGCCGCAGCCTCTCGCTGTTTCTTAGTAAGAACAAATTCCTGTAGCCGGGCCTTTACTTCTGACGATGCTATAGCACCTACAAACAAAGATTTTCTCATCTGAATTACAATAATATATAATCCACACAGCTTAATGCTCTGTAGTTATATACCACGGCAGGTAAAACATGCTTATAACACAGATCTAAGAACGAACATTCTTGTTTGTTAAAACGCAATTTTTTATCTCCATCAAGTTTCCAATATATTTTAAAGCCATGGGGAATGAAAATCATTTTGCTATGAGTAATACTTCATTAAAACAGTGTATGCAATAAGCATGTTCTGCTCTAAATGTTTGCAGTTTGAACTTTTACGATGAATTTGCGTATTTTCTCCACATAGTGTAACAGATATAAATGTAACTGCCTGTCTGGACACACTCAGTCAGGGAGGTCCCTCTTGTCAGATTCCACACTGGGGGGTCTAACAACAGGTTCTACATTAAAGCACAACCAAGTGTAATTAATTCTTTTAATTGCTGTGTAAGAAATGGGTTTTCCTAACTTTTCTTTTTAACTTTTCAATTTAAAATCTTTCTAAGAATCCCATTCTTCAAAAAAAAGGTATGTTTGATCTTTTTACTCTAGTAACCTTTGCCATATGAGTAGTTAGTGATGATGCAATAGAAAATGTTTGAACAGCACATGCTCTTTGTAATGTGGACCTTTGACCTTTGTAATGCTGACCTTTGAGCTTTGTAATATGGACCTTTGACTTTTGTAATGCAGACCTTTGTATCATGGACCTTTGACCTGTATAATGTGTACCATTGACCTTTGTAATGTGGACCTTTGACCTGTATAATTTATACCTTTGACCTTTGTAATGCAGACCTTTGTGACCTTTGTAAAATGGACCTTTGGTGACTTACTTTGTTCGCCGTCCTTTTTGTTTTTTATCTGTTCTAGTCGTTCGTTCTCCATTAGCTCCTTCTCCATGCGATGTTGCTCCTGTAGCTTCTTCTGCTGTTCCAGCATTTCTTGCTGCTTCTGCATAAAGACTAATTGCTGTGGAAGAAAAAGAAAACACAATTCTTATCTAGATCTCAAAGACTCATTTCCCTTTTTAATTTATTTGTCTTATAGTTAATTGAACCATTTTGTCTTCATTAGGGAAGCTTTCATTTATCTAGATCTTAGGAAAAATAGAACAGGATCTTAAACAAACGTGTTAAATAAACATCAATTATATTCTCATTAGCATTAGAATGTATTTTTCAAAAATTTGTTTTAAAAAATTAACAACAGGAAAAACTCCTTTCAAAATCGTGAAACAATTATTCATACTTTTAAAACCACATTAATCTTGCTAATAATATATATTTTACTATGGAATGAGTTTTATTGTTATTCCAAATTCCCCCAGCAATAATGCAATGGTCTGTTTCAATGCTAGATTAAAATATCTACCTCGAAATGCTCATATAACATGTATACACATTGTCCAGATTTAAATAGTAAAACAGTTTACATCCTGCAAAGCTATAAGAGTCTGTAGAATCTACATTCAATTCCTGTGCCAATTTAATTTACAGGGTTCTTCAATTTTCAAAGTCTGAATACAAATTGACTTCACATTAACTGGAAATCTAATTGATAAGTTTGATAATTAAGTTGGCCTCCAAAGACTCACAAAGAAAATCAAAATTAAAGGAAGTTTGAGTGACACATGCCTTTGTGATTTTTTGCTCTTCATGGCCATCAGAGTAAAAATGTTGTCCTAAAACTAGATCGATATAACTCGATTTTACTTGCCCTAAATAGCTTGAAAAGGAATAACCCCTTTTTTGTCTAGTAAGCAAAGTTGATTTTTTAACCAATCTAATAAAGTTGATTTTTCACCACTCTGATAATAAGTGACAACAAATCATTTTTTTTTATAACAAGAGGCCAATGGCCCACAAAGCTCACCTGAGTTACAATGACCCTGATGTTCTTCAACAAATGTTATTTCCTGTCGTATGCATTGTGGTCCCACTCTACCCCTGGGGTCATGATTTGAACAATATAGAATTGACCCTTCCCCAAGATGATTCGACAAAAGTTTTGGCAGTTCTTGAGAAAATTTTTTAAAGACCCACCCTATTTTTGTCTTCTCTTGATTATCTCCCCTTGTAAAGGAACTTGGCCCTTCATTTTTAAAAATTAAACTCCTCTTTACATATTTATGCTTTGCACCAAGTTTGGTTGAATTTGGCCCAGTGGTTCTTGAGAAGAAGTTGAAAATGTGAAATGTTTACAGACAGACGACGGACAACAGATGATCAGAAAATCTCACTTGAGTTTTCAGCTCAAATTTGAGCTAAAAAAGTAAAATATTTTTTCTTTGCTCTCCCACCCTTCCCACACATACCCCTGCTATTTTCTCTTTCCTTGGGTACATTATCAGAAAAAATTTGCACTTAGTGCCTCAGACCCATAGCATGACAAAGAATTCCAAATGTGCTAAAGGTCGGTTTTTCTTTAGTGTATCTATAAACAAGTCCATTAGAGGACTGATACACCTTTCCTGACTACATCTGCCAGTTGCCTTTTTTGTTTTTCACCCTAAAGGATTCCCTTTCCTTAGTTCCTTCACTTTGATATTGGAATGAGATAAGGCTCAGCAGGTGGTCGGGACCATTCTTACCTCTCTGCAGGAGAGCTCTGTTTCCTGTTCTGCATCTTTGTTTGCTCTTTCAGTGTAACAATTACCAAGTTACAGATCAATGATTTGTAATTACTCTTCAGCTTTGGGGGAAAAAAATCAAAGATCCTGACATTCTATGTAATAGGGATCAATACTGCTAGCGATTCCATAAATAGCTTGGATAGTTAAGGATGATGATATTTTTAGTTTCGTTTCTCAGCCGTCAATCATTGCTTCTGCCCATTAGGGCTTTTAAGAGATCAGTGAAGAAACTATAGCAACGCTTCAAAGGAAGCTAATTTTGTCAGGCTCGGTCCTGAAATAGCAAGGATGATGTTTTATTGGAGTTTACAAGGAAATCAATTTGCCACAATGCAAAACAAAAACAGGCTCTGTTTTTCAAGATCCTGAGGGGTATTTTGGGAAAAACAATTTGTATTTTTGGTCTGAGTGTGCTAAGTTTGGTTCTCTTGATTAAGAATACATGGTAGGAAGTAAAAGGCAAATATATGTCTAGGTTGACACCAGATTTTTTTCTACAAATAGTGCTCATATAAATACCACCAAAATCTCGTGCTGCGATTGGTGCACCAAAGCATATATAATCTTCATATACCCATATAAAGCCCAGGTTGACAAGGTGGAATTATTATGGAACAATGAAGGCATGAATATATAATAGAGGCGACCCAGGCTTTTGGCACACTACTTGAGCTACTCTTACAATTTGATGTCCCAGAATAGATAAATCAATATCGCTGTGTTGATCTATAGCTTTTTGGAGGGTCTATGTCATTGTTTAGAGTAAATATAACACCTACGGCTATATTAAGACGGGGTAGTGTACACTTATTTTAAACTTTTTGCCCTTTAATTAAATGTTGCATACTCTTTTGTTTAAAAATTTTCAATAAGTATAAATTATACCAATATAGTGTGTATTGACCTTGACCTTGTTGCAGGTAGGGGGCTTAGAAAGTATTTACCTGCTGTCAAATTTCAAATTTCACTTTTTGTGAAAAAAAATTTGTAAAAATTATTAAAAAAAATTAAATAGATTTTTTCTTTCCGAATTTTTGTTGACAACACATTTTGTTGACAATTCTTAAGGGAAAACGTCTTCAAATGTCTTATCATCTGTAAATGGAAATCGGAACTAGTTTTCATCATTAAATGATGCACCATATATGAACAAAAATCTGCATACCTGACAACTGCTCTCTGCTAAATGTTAAAAGTCCCTAAACATTCCAACATTCATTGATCAACGTGACCCTTTCACTAAAGTTACAAGTAGCACAAAAGTGAAAACAAGACCATGTTTTCAATGACATGCCGACATATCACGAAATAGGACAATATGTTTAAGGGAATCATTTACTAAATGGGAAATCCGACAAAAAACACATATCTGATTATTTAAATGTCACTAAAATCAGGGCCATATAGCTGATCTAAAAATATTTATACAATGCCGGCAATATATATTCCTCCCTTTGATATGTGATATATGGGTTGAATTTAATGATTTCATGGAAAACTATTCTACATGATAGTGTATAGTACATGATTGTACTAAAACAACTATGTATCTAAAGGTGTAACAGTGTATGACCATAACTTTTATATCAGTCAGTAGAGCACTCAACATTCAGGTCAGTATAACCTTGACCCCTTCCAATGTAACCTTGACCATGAGCATCAGATAATATACTGTTTGTAAACAGCAAGCATGCTCATCATTACATATCCCAAGATTATAAAATCACGGGTATGTTAAGTCTACACATACATATTTTAATTATCTATTCAAGATGACGTCATAGTACTAGGCTATATGATGTGAACTTTAAGAGATAACAATTTATGAAAATCTATACTTAAAGATTGATTTGAGGTCATAGACATTAATTGAAACATGCTAATCTTAATATAAACAAAATCTTGTTGTTTCTTTGTGGTATAAATAGCTATGTATTTATCACGGAGCTAATACAAATCAAACCCATGACATCATAACTATTGATCAATACTTGCAGAGTGAAAATAAAACGTAACAAAAATTAATGTCAACAAACATAGGAAATTCTAGTTTTAATGCATTAGACATGAATATCACATTGCATTTCATGTAGAATTAAAGCTTTTTATCAAAATTATGTGAAAATTCGCCAAATTCTGATCTGTGTACTACCTTAACATACCTGCGATTTCCCCCACTTTCATACACATGCAAGCTTTGCTTCACCCTGTTAATTCTAAGCTTCCTAATCAGATATGCCAAACAATTGTACTATTCTAAAATTTACAGCTTTTTAAAACAAAAAGCTTCCTATTATATCTATTTTTTTCTGTCCTATTAAGGCATTTTTAGGATGATTCTACAAATAACCTCTTCCTATCTTAATGCAGCTGCTATATTTGACTATGCTATTTTTGTTTGCTTTCTGCAACAAGGAGATATGCCTCTATGACATTTATTCCATGTCTTTATGTGTTATAAAAATATTTATTTTTTAACTTTAGCTTTAATCCATCTGCTATAAAGGCTTTTATAATGAAAAAGTTCATTAAAAAGTTCATTAACTTAAAATTTTGATTTTTTTCTACTTCTGGGTTTAATCTATTTTCCTGTCATGGCCTGTTTCTACTGATTCTGTTCTATATAGCTATAGCTAATATTTGCTAATGTTTTTATGCTTTAAACATTTCTTGAGCCCAAGAATGCTAGCTTTAGCTAACATCTGCTATTTACTTTCCAGAGATGCTATGTGCTTTAGGCCTTTCTTGTGCCCTATATTGCTAGCTACAATAGCTAGCTACAACTGATCTCTGCTATATGCCTGATATGGTTATTCAATGCTTCTCATTTCCAGTGCTAGCTACAGCTTGTCTGTGTGCTTTCTTAATGTGCCTCTATTGGTGCTTCTTCTGCTCCTATGCTACTTACACCATATCTCTGCTATTTATACAAGATACAGCTAATTTCTATGCTATTTACCTTGATATGATTCTCTAGGTGTTCTTCGTGCTCCTGTGCTAGCGACAGATAATCTCTGTGCTCTTTACCTTGACTTGATTGTCTAGCTGTTTTTCGTGCTCCTGTGCTAGCTACAGCTTATCTCTGTGCTATATACTTCAATTCTCTAGCTGTTTTTTTGTGCTCATGTGCTAGCTACAGCTAATCTCTGTGCTATTTACCTTGATATGATTCTCTAGCTGTTTTTTGTGCTCCTGTGCTAGCTACAGCTAATCTCTGTGCTATTTAACTTGATATGATTCTCTAGCTGTTTTTTGTGCTCATGTGCTAGCTACAGCTAATCTCTGTGTTATTTACCTTGATATGTTTCTCTAGCTGTTTTTTGTGCTCCTGTGCTAGCTACAGCTTATCTCTGTGCTATTTAACTTGATATGATTCTCTAGCTGTTTTTTTGTGCTCATGTGCTAGCTACAGCTTATCTCTGTGCTATTTAACTTGATATGATTCTCTAGCTGTTTTTTTGTGCTCATGTGCTAGCTACAGCTTATCTCTGTGCTATTTAACTTGATATGATTCTCTAGCTGTTTTTTGTGCTCATGTGCTAGCTACAGCTAATCTCTGTGCTATTTACCTTGTCTTGATTGTCTAGCTGGTTCTTGTGCTCTTGTGCTAGCTACAGCTTATCTCTGTGCTGTTTACTTTAACATTTGCTCCTGTGCTAGCTACAGCTAATCTCTGTGCTATTTACCTTGATATGATTCTCTAGCTGTTTTTCGTGCTCCTGTGCTAGCTGCTGCTGCTGCTGTCGGTAGTGCTGGATTAGCAGCTGGTGCTGAAGCTCCTGTTCATGCTTGATTTTGGCCAGACCCTGCTGCAGGTGGGGGTCATTGAAGACATTGACGTTTGTATATAAAATGTCATCTCTGTAATTTAACAGAAACAGATTCTATAAATAATGATCAACGGAAACTATACTGAAGAATCATTATATACCTCTTGTATTTTGTGTGTATAGCATACCAATTAATGAAGAAGCACATTTTTGTTATATGTATATAGTCCACCTATAAATGAAATTTACTGCTACATTAGCTATGCAACACTGCACTAAAGTTAAAACGTAAATAATGTAATTTTACAAAACATCTCAATAAAATTGTGCTCAGACAAAAATTTATAAGATGGAAACTAATCTATATCCACCTTGTGCATCAAAGTCTATTTACAGTAGTTACATTAATAGATTTGTAATTAATTGACCAATTTCAATCTTAGGCATATTAGGAGGCGTATAGATGAAAAATCTTTTTGACAAGTTGGGTGAGGGGATGGGGTATAGAAGAATTAAATGAGGTAGGAATGATTTCATTCATTTATTAGCACGCAAGAATCATATTTTTACAGCAGAAAACATTATGTGCAAATTATGGAATTTGTTCCCCTTTCCGTAGGTAATCCCATGTGGGTTCTATTGTTAAACATTGCATAGGGATCTTATATCTAAAGCCTCAACCTCAGTTTATCCAATAATTTGCCTACATGTACGCTGACTGAAATGTAGCTCTTATAATCGTCAAGATCGTATTACCGGTATGTATAAACAAGGATCACAGCTATTACATTACATTCTTATCTATTAACAGCAATCTAATCTCCTCAATTAAACGTGCTGACGTCATTCCTTTGTTCTAAAAGATGACAATTTTCACCTGACAGCTTACTCGCAGTAAGACACACATATATATAGTGCTAATTTGGTGTGAAAATAGGACAGCATGCATGCACTGCTAGATTAACATGATGAGGCCTATAACGGGGTTTTTCCTTACATATACAGTTGAACTTCAGTATCTCAAACTCTGATATCTCGAATACCATGGATATGTCAAAGTGATTTGGAAGTCCCAACCACATTTTCTTTAAGTATTTTACCTTCGATATCTTGAATCCTCGGATATCTCGAAGTTTTTTCTCGGTCCCACCAGGTTCGAGATAACGAAGTTTAACTGTACTTGAGAGGTTCAGATTTAAGAGACACTGCATCCTCCACAATATGATTCAGGGGCACTTCAAGTAAATACCAACTCCTCTCGCATGTCAAGTGAGGATATAGAGTTTCTTAGTACTCTTTTTCAGTTACTTGTAATGGTACAGTAAAACGAAATGCCATTACAAGTGTAAAAGGCTTAATCGTCTTACTCAACATTCATTACAATTTCATGGAAGTGTACCTTGATCCTTTTAATGTTACATCCAGACTTATTTTGGTCTACTTAAGAAACCTCTCTCTACAACTCAGATGATAAAAAAAAGTTTTCAATTTCATTTTTAAGTAATACATTTAGTGAATGGTCAGAGGGTAATAATAATAGACCTAGAAGGCCACTTAGGCCAGTCTCTACTGTTTTGTTGAACTGAGGTACCAGTATTAAATAGATACCAAGTAAAAGCAAGTACTGATGTGTATTCACATGCAGCTGCCAGCTGAAAATAAATGCATGGATTCCAATTCCTTTCCTGTTCCTCAATGTCAACTACCATTATACTAACTCTATATGACCTTTCTTTGAATAATGTTTCAAGTTTTAAAAGGTTTTTTTTTTGCATTATTTATCAAAAGGTGAAACCCCAGTAATTTTACGAGGGTTATTACTTTAAGTTTATGTATATATATATACACACACTGTTTCATGTATACCCTCATGGTTTAAGTATGACGCATTATCTGACATCATTTGTTAGAAAAAAAAGAAGAGTTAATTGCCAGTTAGTATTTAAATTCACTGAAATGAAGCAGGTCACATCAGTATTATAAAGTAGCATGATATTTTATTCTGTTTAGGGTGAATACCAGTACGCAATATTATTACCATTTAGTCTAAGAACCGTTTCAAAATTATTGAATATAATATGCACAATTGTTTATTACCCCAGTTCATATAACTGATCTTTTTTTTATTACTACTGAATATTCCTGTGAATATTAAAACATGTTCCAAAAAAAATTAAATCCATCATTTGAAAAATTATCCATACAATAGAGCATAAAGCTCTTATTTCAATTAATCTTGCCAATGGACTGTGTCATTTTCTCTCAAGTGACATTTCATATACGTCATATGAAAACAGACAAATCTTAGGCATAAACAACAAATTAAAATGTCTCACTTAAATTTTATACATCAACTTTTCCCTAATTTGGCTTAATATAAAACACATGGCAACCTTTCAATCAATTTAATTTGTTTGTTTCACTTTCATTCATGCAAAAAAAATAAAATAAAACAATAATAATCAGTCCGTCCTAAGAGTAAGACCAGTATATTAAGACTTTTTTTTCTATGTTTTCCCCATTTTTTCTGAATTAATCCATCTTGATCAAAAGTAAAATTAAGGTGGATGGCCCTATAAATCTGTGATCCAGTGTAATTTAAGGTGGTCTATCCCCTGGTGACATTGACATTTTTTTTTTTTACAGAGGACTCTTATCATAGAGTCAACAGGATTTTTTTTAATTTCTGCATATTATCACCAATGCCAGCGCAAGCATAAGGAAATGTCGCAAAACCTCATAGATATTAATTGACGAGCTTGACACGTGTAAAGACACAGGCCAACATAAGTCGCTTGTCCTATGTGTGTCACACCTGCCAAATGAGCTGGTTTAAGGCATTACCACCATTGAATCAAAAATAACAAATCAGATAGTCACTTTGAATTTATACATCTCTTATTAAAAAATACACAAATCAAATTATTTTCTTTGAAAAACACAGGTAAAAACTCGTGATGATTTAATTAATAATCTATTCTTTTTTTTGGACTTTTATTGGCAAATGCTTGCAGACAATAAAATCTTTAAAATATCATATTTTTTTCCTCGGATCATGACTCCATGTGCATATGCACAGATACTGACTTGTTTTCTCAATGTACAGAATTAAGGACCCCCCCCTTTACATTTTTTGCCAATTCTTGTGTATTTCTCTATCCAGAAAAGAGACCAATATTTCTAGGACTTGCCTTAAAGTTGTACAAAAGAGTATAAATGAATGGACCAAAATCTAACTTCAAAAACGTCCTGACTTATAGGCGAGTATATGTTGTATAAAGAAATGTTTTTTTTTTAAATGGCCGTGACGACCCCTGGTTGCAGAAGAAACATCTAAGTGCAGTCGATGTTGACACGAAGTAAACTCGGAGATTATGAGGACAATGTCGGGTCTTTAACGCTAATCTCCTGACTTTCCGGGTGCAAAGGAAAACACTCAGTGAATGGTAAACATTGATAAATCATGAAGGCCTCTACGCGTAGGTCAGCCGGTCCAGTACAACAGAACCGAAATCAATACCCCAATTCTTAAACAATAATAAGCTCCAGAGGAAGTCACGTTTTTGCCTCCCACCTTCCCTCGCATTCTTATTATTAACAATGCTATTAACAAACACTAAAACACTCGAGTGACTGAATATTTATATTCCAACAGTGGCATTTTCAAAGTAGCCTTTAATTGGCATGCTGAGTGAATAAATTGTACCAATTCTGTCAGACTTGTTTTTTTGTTATTTCATGTCCCTTTTTTATGGAGGATAAACTTTTTAGCCTTTATGCTTTATTTGATACGAGAGTAAATTGATTATGATAATACTATAAAAAGAAATGAATATTTGCAACCATGAATAATCAAATTAAACATTTGTATCATAATGTTGCAATTTTTACAAGAAATAGACAAAAATCGATCCTATCTGGTCTGATCTTAGCATTACATCATAAATAATGAAAATATCAAAATGGAATTTCACGAATTAAAGCAGTCATAAAAATGACTTCATGTCTTATCACTCTTAAATCATCTGGAATTTTTCCTCCAAAATCTGTTCTTGTACAAAAACAGCCACAAACTTGCACAAATAATTTACAAATTAATAATAATTAACATAATCAGTTGTCAATGTCTATACAATGTTTCCCATTAATGAGGCTATTGGATATTAATTAACATATATAACGTATCAACCACAAAAAATGTACTAAATCCATGCTGTTTCTTGTGTACTTTTAGTATTATAAGGAAATGATGCTAAACAGAACAACTGGATTACAAAAACAAGACTGCATGATTTAACCAAGTTGTGCCCCCCCCCCCCAAAAAAAAAAAAAAACAACAAAAAAAACAAACTTCCACAAGAATTTCCATTTATTGAAAAAAAGTCTTTTTTTTTTCAAATCAATTTCAGATTTTTAAAAAAAGTAACCATTGTTGTTCTACATACAGTTAAACTGAGAATATATTTTGCTGATCTAAATTTGGTATAACAATTCTAGACTATTATATAACTAAAACTGTTGTCACCAAAGAAGCTGGCTTAATTTTCCAGTCCACAACAATGCCTTACCTTGTACACAAAAACTTTAAAGTCCAGTGCAGATGTGGTCATGCTTTGCCGTGCATTGCATGTAATTTACATACTATTTACTTTCTGTGGAAACAAGTGACATCTCAAAATTGGCACTCTCCTTTATTTTTCATGGCCCCTTGATGATTTACGAGGCCTACCGAAATATATGTTCATGGGGTTTAATCACCTTTAGTATCAACCTGCATGCAAAGTAGAATTTGAAAGCATTTATTTAGCATATTAATCGGTCTTCAATGTATAATCTTGAGAGCTTTGTTTGAACAAATACATATTTCAAGCCATAAGAATGTGTCTGAAAATGTTTTCGGAAAATTGAACCAGCTTTAGTTTACGACAATCAATCAACAAGGGAGAATCAATCCAAATTCTCCTACGATTATTTTAAGTGCAAGAACTTAAAAAAAAAAAAAACAAACAAATCGGCTAAAAACGTTTCTTCAAAAGGTGCAAAAAAAAGAATCACGTACAAATACATCATTTATGAGCAACCTTGGGACTA